AGAGAGAGATAGATCCACCGCCGGCTAAATATATAGCGACTATTTCACCCGATCTCTCAATGATTTAATTTTTGCGCGAACTCTGGTCGTATTCCCTTACTAGCGCGGGCAGCGTTCTCTCTCTCACATCGGGAGTCTATTACTCCCTCTACTTTGTCATTGAAAACGCAAACAGGCAGGTTTAACTCTACCTTCAGCTGGCAAAAAATTCGGGAATTTATTCCTAGAAGATAGTTTGCTAACACTGCCATTAGCGATACAATGGTAGCTTTTAGCGACAGTAGCGGTGCGTTTCACACATTTCATTAATTACAATCGTTAAGCCCGGCGCACACGTGACTAATTTTACTCAATAAATCATGCACGCGTCAAAATACTCACGTGAAATATTTTCAGCGTGCGCCGCACACGTCAGTAAAATTACTCAAGGTATAAGTGGTAATGTAGATCGCGTGACTGTACAAAATGGCGGATACCGATAGTTCGTCTTCCTCCGAAGATGAAGAAATTTTATTATTAGACTGCAATTTAAACGTGGTTTGTCTGTTCGTACTAATTAAGGTTCGCAGTAAATAGAGTAGGTAAACATAATAGCGTAATATATAGTACATATAAAATATAGTATGATGGTGATCAAGGCACAGAGTAGCTTGACAGGAACACCCGCCGTGGAACGTACGTCCATGCACGAGCGGGAGCGGGCAGACTTGCTGCTGCTGCTGCTGCTGCTGCAGTCAGTGCATGGTAGGATATAACCAGAATACATGTGTACTTCTGGTATCATTATCAGTATAATTATCATCGACGTGCAGGTCGACGTGACTTCATTTTGTATCATGTAATTAATTTTGTATAATTAATGTAAAGTTATTGTATAATTGTGTATAATTATTGTATAATTAATTCACTGTATACTGTAATTAATATTAATGTAAAGATAAATACTCTCCGGTGGCAACTGACGATTGCGTAGCACTGAACAGGGATTAGTTTTAACTAAAGATACGTTTTACAATCCAGGAGAATTTTCCTGCGCTGTGTGGATTACGATTGACTACGTCGTGACCACCGCTTCCATCTTCACGATGTTGGCCATCTCTATGGACCGGCTGTGGTCCGTCACCTGGAGTGTTCACTACAGAAACAACAACACGACTAGAAAGACGATCGCCATCATCAGCGTCTGTAACAACCACGTTACAAGGCAACTCCCCCCCCCTCATGCGACGCGGGCTCCCCGCGTCGCTACGTCTATGCCACGGTGTTGCCCCTAGCAACCGTGGCCAAGCAGTATCAGATAATGTGTAACAACCACGTTACAAGGCAACTCCCCCCCCCTCATGCGACGCGGGCTCCCCGCGTCGCTACATCTATGCCACGGTGTTGCCCCTAGCAACCGTGGCCAATCAATAGCAGTATCCGCGTATGTATGTGTATATCGGCATGTGAGCCTATATATCTATGCTACGGTGTTGCCCCTAGCAACCGTGGCCAATCAATAGCAGTATCCGCGTACGTATATGTGTATCGGTATGTGTCCCTATGTGTATCGACGCCGGCATCCTATAATTGAGTTACAGTGGCGAGTGCCGCTAAGTGACCTATCACGTAGAAGGCACGTGACCAATTAGCCGGCGCAGTAGTAAGGGATAGCGAATCCTCGGAGGAGTCCAATAATGCAGTTAGCGGGTTTCTTTGAGGTCCGAGAGGATCCTCGAAGGGGCCCGGTAATGGGATTAGCGGCAGTCTTTGAAATCCGAGAGGATCCTCCGAGGAGGTCAATGATATAATTATCGCGACGTGACCAATTAGCCGACGCCATGGTGAAGGATAGGAGCATCCTCGGAGGAGTCCAATAATGCAGTTAGCGGGTCTCTTTGAGGTCCGAGAGGATCCTCGAAGGGGCCCGGTAATGGGATTAGCGGCAGGCTTTGAAAGCCGAGAGGATCCTCCGAGGGGTTCAATAATATAGTTATCTCGAGCCCAAGGGCTCGGGATTGTGAAAGGCAGGCGTATACCCACACACACACGCACACACAGGCGTACACGCGCACCCATGAACACACACGCACACAGCGAAGATCGCTCAATACGCAAGCATACATAAGAAATACATCATCATCATAATCAGCATCATCATCATCATCATGATCATGATCATCATCGTGAGCATCATCATAGCTTGCTCATACATAAGAAATGGCGGGAATTGTGAAGCTACAAAGCCATCTAGGCATGCGCGAATGTGCGCGCTAACTAATGCACGCTGCGCGGAGATCGCAACACTCGCACGCGATGCGCACAAGTGAGTAATCTACGATAGTAATGAACTACAATCTTTAATACTGCAAGCAGCAACGTAGTCATAGTGGAACAGTAAAGCTAAACCGGCAAAAGATCAGTTTCACTCACCTAGCCGACGATACGGCGCTTGAAACAGGATCGTCAGTCTCGAGCGGTAGACAGAAGTCAGTGTCGGCACTGTGATCGTATAGGAAGCACCGTGGAAATGACCACAACCAGGAACATGATCGACGCTCACTGGCACCAAAATGTAACGATGTTTCTTACGTTACTTGATAGTTATAGATTCTAATGTTGTATGCATAGCCAAAAGACATAGATAAAGAGAAAGCCAGTTATACCATGGTTCGAAGTTATAGATTCCGTAGTTTAATGCTGGTACTTCAAGCACAGAGTACAGAGCCGTGGTCGCGGTCGTGCGTATTCGAGCCTGGTTGGGGAGCGAATTCCCCGACTTTCCTTGCGCTCTCCGCCTTTTATACACTGGCACGACCGCGAACCACGCATGCGCCGTGGTTTGTTACACAAATTTACGTGGAAGGTTCGAGGGAAGCTACCTTTAATTATGCTGAGAGGGTCTATGTCCTCCAGGGTACTGCCGGAACGTACCCTGGTACTAAATACTACTATCTAATATGCCGGACCGTACCTCGCCTACTCCACTAACGAGTCTAGGGAATCGCCCCGGGTCACTCCGTTATACAAAAAGAAAGACCCGCTAGATAGACAATACTATCGTCCGGTGAGTGTTCTACCGGCGATATCCAAAATTTTTGAAAGGGCCATATCTGAGCAGATGGCTGTATTTTTTAAAGACATTTTCAATCCAATGCTGTCCGCTTTTCGACCTGGGTATAGTTGTCAATCAACTCTGTTGGCTCTCACCGAGGAGTGGCGGGCAGCGTTGGATAGAAATGACTATGTAGCTGCTATTTTAATAGATTTATCGAAAGCGTTCGACTGTCTGCCGCACGATCTGATCCTGGAAAAACTCAAAGCTTACGGTTTGTCGGAAGGTGCTGTAACACTAATGGGAAGCTATCTCTCAAACCGTGAGCAATGTGTGCAGCTCGGAAGCAGTACGAGTACTTTTCTAAATATCACAAAGGGCATACCCCAGGGTTCGATTTTCGGACCCATAATTTTTAATATTTTTATAAATGATATATTCTATTTTGTAAACAAAACACACCTCGTTAATTATGCCGATGACAACACCCTTTCATATTGCCATCCAGAGTTCGAGCAGCTAAAACAAACTCTTGAAGCTGAAAGCGTGTCACAAGTCGAATGGTTCTCCGACAACCAGATGGAAGCAAATCCAGAGAAATTCCAAGCTCTGAGTGTCGGGAAACGGACATTCGAAAAAAAACCAGTATTTTATGTAGCCAACAATAGTATACCATGTGAGGAATCTGTCATTTTACTAGGAGTGGAAATAGATTATTTATTAAATTTTGACAAACATGTTGGTAAAATGTGCAAAAAGGCGCCTCACAGCAAATTAATGTTCTGAAGCGTATAGGGAAGTTTTTAACATTAGAAGGACGGAAGGCTGTGTATCATGCTTTTATCATGTCAAATTTTAATTTTTGTCCGTTGACATGGCACTTTTGTAAAAAAGCAAACACAGACAAGCTGGAAAGACTCCATTGTAGGGCATTGAAATTTGTATACCAGGAACATGACAGCTCATATGAGGAGCTTTTACATAACAAGTGCCGCGGAGCGACATCACTCATCTAACGTCTACTGTGGTGACTCTGTGGTGGAGTGGTGGGATTCTAGTAAACCTTGTTAATCCCCAATGTGTTCACATACACGCCAAAACAGTGGAAGGCACAGGGATGGTATCAGGAACCTTCTCAAAGGAATGTTCGTTGGGATTGTTATGAAAGTTGCCACGAGATGGCGCGTACGTTTAAGTGTCTTAAGATTCAAGATGGAAGCTCCCATCGTACGTAGTAGCAACAACGGCTGCGACTAGGGACAGCGCGTCTCCCAAGGTACCGAATTCTCTCCCTAGAGGGCCTTATTATTATTATTATTTTGAATTAGGGATAGGGTTAGGGTTAGGATTAGGGTTAGGGTTAGGGTTAGGGTTAGGATTAGGGTTAGGGTTAGGATTTGGGTTAGGGTTAGGGTTAGGGTTAACTGATTTTATTAATTGTTAATTAATAATGCGCCATCTAGCGGATCACTATCTCTCCCCTGAAACCTACTATTTCGGATTTGGGAGACGCGCTGTCCCTAGTAGCATCCAGCAACAACTATTTGCAAGACAGAATAGGTAAGCACTCATCCATTTACCTACGCAAGCCCACAGGCTGAAATAGAGAGATGCCACCTGTAACTAATTAACGCAGGCAAAAACTACACAGTAATATCACCACCACATGCACTGGCAGTGGCCACTGGCAGTGGCATACATTACATCAAGAGCATATAAAGAAGGAGAGCGTACAAGGGTAAAATGCTGAAACCATGCTGCAGTATTAGTCGAATTAATAAACCTTTCCCGTTTTATTTTGACGATCCTTTGCAGTATTATTGATTAGCTGTCTTACCTTGTTCATATAAAACAAACCGCATGTCCCTACGATGCCCCTACGCTGAGATAATGAGCGGTGGAAATCTGGTATTTTCACCGAAACCCCACTCGAGATCAGTGTTTACTGCGTCCCTCACTCGAAGTGTTATAACTTCGGGAAACCTCGCGTGTCCCGAATGACGTCTGTTATTGATTGCCATAGTGATGACCCCCACCTGTGCCCACCTCACGCCCACCTCACGCTGGATGTATAGTAAACTCTGGTAGTATTACGTGAGTCAGCACCACTATGGCGCTACACAGCGGCGCCCGGAAGCAACCCACAGTGGAAACACTTCGAGAGACAGTCGCAGTTCACACTGATCTCGAGTCGGTTTTAGTTGAAGATACCAGATT